GGGGTTGTCCCTAACAGGGTGCCTGGGTGCTGCCGTGCCCCCTTGGATCCCTCCAGCTGGGGTGAAGAGGCACTGGGTGCTGCCAGCTGCCTGCAAAGGGATGGGGTCTGGGTGGGCAGTTGCCCGTCCTCCTGTCTGTGTGCCCTGCTGAAGCCTCTGTCCCCGCAGATGAAGCGAGCCCTGGTGTTGGGTGCCTCAGCCCTGCTCATCCTGGCACTGAACCAGAACACCATGCGGGAGGTAGGACAGCCCCCCGGCGGGTTCCCGCGCCCCCCCCGCCCTGCTGACGGCCCTTCCCTTTCTCTCTGCTGCAGCTGGACGTTTCCCAGCTCCTCAGCAAGCCCGTGATCGTCATCCCGTCCTCAGACAACGTCACCAAGCTGCTGGGAACGCTGCTGCGGTACGGGCTGGGCCAGCAGGAGGGGCTGGGTGAGGGTGGTAGCTCTGCCTGTCCCCAGCCTGTCCCCTGCCTGCTGTGACAGCAGGGGCAGCCCCTCCTGCACAGCACCTGGTGTCTGCTGGGCTGGGGTCGAGCTGGTGCTGTGCAGAGGCCAGGGGGGCTGGGACATGAGTGTCCAGGGAGGGGTGGAATTGGATCCGGCCCTTCCTCAGGCCCTCAGCCCCACCATGGGTCCCCGGGGGACCTCAGTGGCCTTGGCCAAGATCTTAAGGATGCTCAGTAGAAATGATGCAGAGGGGCTGGTGGGCAGCACAGCAGCATCCCGGTGGGCACAGGCAGGCCAGGCTGCAGGCAAGGGGGCTCCCTGGCCCTGGGGGGGCTGTGGGGGGTCCTGCTGTGCCCGCGGGGGTGACGCTGTGCTCCCTCGGCTCACAGGGGGCTCCGGGCCACGGCGAAGATCACGTACCAGGCTGTGCTGCTGGAGAACCTGGTGCGTAGAAGCTCCTCCTCTTCCTCCTCTTCTTCTCTTTCTCCTCCTCTTCCTCCTCCTCTTCTCCCTCTTCCTCCTCCTCTCCCTACTGGTGGGTGCAGAGGGCAGTACTGTGCCCAGCCAAACCTCGCCCACCACCAGGGACACCGAGTGGCAGGAGCCAGATCCCTGAAGGCTCCTGAAGCTGCCAGTGCCTCAGTTTCCCCAGACATACGCTCTGTAGGAGTCTGTGGTCAACCTGCGGCTCCTCCACCCCTTGACACATGTGATCCGCCTGGTGCAACGGGGTCCCCCCCGGCTTTGGGCAGCACTGGGAGTTGTCCTGACTGTCAGCAATGCCGTGTCCTGCCTTGCAGGGAGTGACCCTTACTCTGTGGTCAACCTGCGGCCTGTCCCGAGGGGGTCTCTACGGGGAGTGGCAGGGGGTCATCTGCACGGGGGAGAACAGCTCGCAGGTCCAGGTACGTGCACCAGGTCGATCCAGGTGTGGGGGTGGTGCCCATGGTGGGGCCGGGAGTGGAGCAGGGGTCTTCAGTTCTCCCCTGACATCCTGGTGGTGCTGCTCCTGCAGAAGTACCTCCAGCAGCTGTGGAACACCATCCTGCTGATCGCCCTGCTCCTCTGCACCGGGGTGATGGTGCAGGCCCAGCGGCAGTCGCGGCAAGACCCGTTGGAGCGGGATGCTGAGGTGGGAACGTCTCTGCTCTGCTCCGGGCTGGGGGTCTGGCCCCTGCTGGGGTCTGAGCCTCTGCCCTGCCTTGGCAGCTGGACCTGAAGCAGCACATCCGGCGGCGGCTCTTGGCCCTGGAAACCCGGCGGTACCATCCTGGGAAAGCGCCCCGGAGCCGGGGCTGCGAGATCGATCGCTGCGCTGTCTGCTTGGACCAGTTCCACAAGAGCCAGGTAGGGGCTGGGGGCACTGGTGCTGTGCTGGGAGGCCTGGAGCCCATCCTGGTCACCCCTTGGTGTCCCTGGAGCTCCTGCCATCCCTTGGCTGCCCGGGGTGTCCCTGCCAGGGAGCCATGTGGCAGGGAGGATTGTTCCCCTCTCTGGGGGCTGCGCTTCCCCTGCCCACCTTCGCTCATATCTCCCATCCCCTTCCCTCCTGGCAGTGGCTACGGGTGCTTCCTTGCTCCCATGAATTCCACCGGGACTGCGTGGACCCGTGGCTCCTGCTGCAGCAGACCTGCCCTCTCTGCAAGCACAACATCCTGGGGGAGCACCCCACCAGGGCCCCCGCAGCTGTTGGTGTTGGGGCGAGTGCTGGAGAAGACTTGGAGACCCCCAGACTCCCTGTGCAGTGACCCGGTGTCCTTCTCCCTTCCAGGGAAGTGCTTCCCAGGGAGCTGCCCAGCCTGAGGGACACACTGTGGGGACAGAGGGAGGGAGCAGAGGGTGCTGGGCACTGGCTGCTGGAGCAGCTGTGCCCGTGACAGTGCCCGGCCCTGCAGGGAGGGGGGGATCTCGGGGCTCTCCCTGCT